TAATCGGGGGGGGGGGGGGGGTGGGGTGATTTAACGTATCCTAGCCCCCTTCCCCTCCTCAGGGAGCCTCCCTAGAAAATTGTTCAAATGTAGATCCTCGCGAACCTCAATTTAGTCTATTTTTAGGATGAAATCTGATGGAACGTCTTGAAAAACAATGGTTTTATTTCATTATCTCTAGCTTACTTACGATCATTTGCCACTTATTTGAGGTATATCTAGTCGTTACTCCACAGCGTTTAGAATTTTTTGAGTTATTTAAATTTCTCAAAAAAACATCTCTCTGCGTTTAAAACAGCAATCGCAATCGGGACGGGAAGAGGGAACAGGACAGCGCATCGGAGGCAAAAGCAGCGAAGCGCTCGGACTCGGAACGTACCGCTCTTCCCGCCCGCCTGATTCCGCCGCCGCGCCGCGCTGAGCTGGCCCCGAGCAGTCTGGCAACCGAGCATGAGTTGGCCCGTGCCGTGTTCAGGCCGCGCAGCGCGCTGCGCCACCTCCGTCCGCTCTGCCACTTTCCTACTTTTGTGGCTGCTGTATACGTATTTCTGTCTTTCTCTTTCTGTTCTTAATGCAATTTACCTACCAATACATTTGATCAATAATATTTGCTAAAATTTAAAACATGTAATGGGTGTAATTTTCCTCTCTTCTTCTGAAATATATGGGCAAGCAGTGCTTGCCTTGCTTATCCGGACCACACGCCACCCCGGGGCGGGGGGGGGGGGGGGGGNGGGGGGGGGGGGGGGGGGGGGGTGGTCCATCCCCCCCTTAATGTGTCATCATATGTGTTAGCATAAGTTTGGTCATAAATTCATTTTTCGATCAAAATACCATTAGTTTGCGAAGTTTCAACACGAAATGTCTACTAGGACAAGTACAATCTATCGGGGGGTTTTATATTTACCGCCGAGATCATGTATTTGTGTCAACAAATCAACGAAAAGTAAGGTCAAAAATGAAATCTCCGATCAAAAGTCCCACAGATGTGGAGTTTCAACACGGAATGCCCACAAGAACGATAGGAAATTTTACGGTCGTTATTTCGGGTCCTATGACATTTTCCTCTAAGATTGAAAGTTTAAAAGTAAAATGAGGAGAAAGGTCGCTGATCATAAGAAATTTTGCCTGCTCCCTTTTTAAAACCCTTATTTTTGGTCACGAAAATTATTTTTTCGAATATTTTGTGTAATGAACCGATAGGAAATTTTACGGTCGTTATTTCGGGTCCTATGACATTTTCCTCTAAGATTGAGAGTTTAAAAGTAAAATGAGGAGAAAGGTCGCTGATCATAAGAATTTTTGCGTGCGCTCTTTTTAAAACCCTAATTTTTGGTCACGAAAATTAGTTTTTCGAAAATTTTGTGTAATGAACCGATAGGAAATTTTACGGTCGTCATTTCGGGTCCTATGACATTTTCCTCTAAGATTGAAAGTTTTAAAGTAAAATGAGGAGAAAGGTCGCTGATCGTAAGAATTCTAGCCGCAGCCTTTCTCGAATGTGAGCCGGTGCGAGAAGAACGGATCCTGGCTGAGAGGCGGATTTCTTGCCAGCTTTTGTGAATGATCGAATATAGCTGTGCCCCCGTTAGAAGCTATGGTAAAGAATCGATAGTGCGATATTCGAACAATCGCATTCGATACGATATTCGATATTCAATTCGTCCACCTGTTTGAAGAATGCAACATGGCGGCCCGGCCATGCATTTTCCTACACAATCACGAATTCACGACCGGTCCCCAGATCGCGCGTTCAATTAATTTTAATTTATTGAATCATTTGCCGTTAAAACTGTCATCTTCTCTACTCATTTAGAAGTATTTCATCAATTCGAGACGAAGCCTTAACCCCAGGGCCAACGAGAATCAAGAAGAAGCCATGGGAAGTGCGGAGGAACCGAAATTCAGAGTGGATCTTTACAGGTACGAGTCGTTTTTCTTGTATGTATTCCTTTCCATCGCCTGTCCCATTTTCCGAAAATTTAGTGTAATGAACCGATAGGAAATTGTACGGCCGTTATTATGGGTCCTATGATATTATCCTCTAAGATTGAAAGTTTAAAAGTAAACTGAGGAGAAAAGTCGCTGATCATAACATTTTTTGCCTGCGCGCTTTTTAAAACCCTCATTTTCGGTCTCGAATATTATTTTTTCGAAAATTGAGTGTAATGAACCGATAGGAAATTTTACGGCCGTTATTATGGGTTCTATGACATTTTCTTCTAAGATGGAAAGTTTTAAAGTAAAATGAGGAGAAAGGTCGCTGATCATAAGAATTTTTGCCTGCGCCCTTTTTAAAACCCTCATTTTTGGGCACGAAAATTATTTTTTCGATAATTTTGTGTAATGAACCGATAGGAAATTTTACGGTCGTTATTTCGGGTCCTATGACATTTTCCTCTAAGATTGAAAGTTTAAAAGTAAAATGAGGAGAAAGGTCGCTGATCATAAGAATTTTTGCCTGCTCCCTTTTTAAAACCCTTATTTTTGGTTGCGAAAATTATTTTTTCGAATATTTTGTGTAATGAACCGATAGGAAATTTTACGGTCGTTATTTCGGGTCCTACGACATTTTCCTCTAAGATTGAGAGTTTAAAAGTAAAATGAGGAGAAAGGTCGCTGATCATAAGAATTTTTGCGTGCGCTCTTTTTAAAACCCTAATTTTTGGTCACGAAAATTATTTTTTCGAAAATTTTGTGTAATGAACCGATAGGAAATTTTACGGTCGTCATTTCGGGTCCTATGATATTTTCCTCTAAGATTGAAAGTTTTAAAGTAAAATGAGGAGAAAGGTCGCTGATCGTAAGAATTCTAGCCGCAGCCTTTCTCGAATGTGAGCCGGTGCGAGAAGAACGGATCCTGGCTGAGAGGCGGATTTCTTGCCAGCTTTTGTGAATGATCGAATGTAGCTGTGCCCCCGTTAGAAGCTATGGTAAAGAATCGATAGTGCGATATTCGAACAATCGCATTCGATACGATATTCGATATTTAGCTGTTTGAAATTCAACATGGCGACCAGCCATGCATCTCCCCGCGTAACCACGGCCGGTGACCAAATTCAAATTCCGGCAGGGTTCCCAGGTGTGCTGAAATTTCAGCAAAAGTGCTGATTTTCAGAAATTTGTGTGAAAAAGTGTGTGAATTAAATTTTGTGCTGATTTTGTGCTGAATTTTCTGCTGCAAGCCCTCGGAAACTCAAAAACATGGGTATTAAATCCTGTAAACCCGCGCTCCACTTTCACTGATCATCGGCACCTCTTTGTCAGCACGCAACGGAGGGAAAGTCAGCTCTGGCAACTGAGGCCACATTGCACATTGTTGAAATGGAGGGAATGATTTGATGATTTCGGAAAAATAGTTCTTAAGTCAAAAACTTAAAAGGGACTTAATGGCATGAGAAAAAGACATTAACTATGGTATTTTGAGACCAAATATTGAGTCATGACTTAAATGTTTTTACTTGCAATACTGTGAGACCAGTTCTGCTAGAAATAGTGAAAGTCAATATTCCTGTAACTTAACCGAATTATGCTCTATATTTCTCTTCCGAGTCAGGGAGCCAAATTTAAATTTAGCGCCGCTGAGGAATGACAGGGCTGCCTCATACACAAACCGAATATTCTCAATCAGGGCGCAGCCATTTTGTGGTATGGTGAGGGTAAAATCTGTCAAAATGTGTCGAATCTTGAGCCTCAGTGGGCTAGGGGGTGGAAAGTCAGGTGGGGGGAATTTGTGAAGGTTTGGTTTCAACGCTTGACCGATGGAGCGCTGCTGTCGCAGAAATTGAGACGTCAGCGGTCAGCTGATCTCGAAGCCTCCTCCGCGGTGTGGCATGGAATTCACGTGGGTTTTTCCGAATCAGCCATAGCCCATAGCCATTGCCATAGTGAATTATTGGTTACGAGTATACGAGTACGTTCGCAAAAGTGTAAACAGTTGAATTGAACGGATTTGTTTGTGTGGAGTTTTATAATATTTGACAATTTGTGAAAATGTCCAAGTTTAAATCGTGTTTCGTCGATGGATGCTTCCATAACGAAGAAAACTCGTCGCACTTATTCCATCGTTTCCCGACTGCCGGAAAACGGAATTCCCAAAGGTAAATAATGCATGTTTTATTCATCACTCTTCTCTTCTCACGGTTTGCACCAATAACTATATTTCAAGCCGTGTTCCCCTTTAATGTCATGGATAATGGGTCGTGATATGTATCTTACTGATGACTTTAGCTTCCGAAAAATCTGGGCCCAGGCTCGAAGTTAATTTCAAGTATCAGATTGCTCGGTACATCCTTTCACATTGTGTCGCCCAAAAATGAATCTTGGCTGCTTCCTGTGCTGAATGACGACGTTAAAAGAATGGATTATAAGTTTTAACTTAGATGTAAATATGATTAGGAAGCATATCCCTATTTTTATCTCCCTGTAATTTTCTCTGTGACACAAGGTGTGAGTTTACCGCACTCTCAATGCAGCATTCACTTACACCCAACCTCATATCGTCGTGCAAACATTTTGCCAGTCAAATATGCATTTTTATTGTCTGCTTCATGAAGCAAGTATGTGCTATGAGGTCATTACTGATGATGTCAATTTGCAACTTGCTTGCTAAAGATGATGAGCATAAGCCTGTTTGAAGGATTCTGTAATTCAGAGTTTGAAGACTTAAGAATACTCTACGGATGACCTATTTAAAAATAATCTAAATTAACTTCTGTTTTAATGAGTCATTTCTTTATGCTGAAACATAATTTTAATTCTCTTGAATTCTTTCTGTGTTGCAGGGTTAACACTTGGGCAGAATTTTCTAAACCAGAGGCACCTCTAGACTCCAGTGAAATCCAGAAACTGTACATGCGTCAAGTCTTTATCTGTGGAGCTCATTTTACTGCTGATTCTTACCAGGAAGTTAATCCCTCAAAACTCCACATCCATTCCATACCCAAAATTCCTCCTTCTTCTATACCGTCCTCTTCCTATCCCATCGGATCTCCTTCCTTATACCCACCGCAACCCTCACCTCAGTATCCACCAACTCCTCCCAGTGATTCCTCAAGCGACCAATTCCCAAGCACCTCTTCAGATGGTCCTTCACCGATGGACATTGATCCTGTAATTCCTTCCGCTCCTTCAGAACCCCCCCTCACCTGCCCTGTAGAAATATGCTCCTCTGATTCTACTCCTACCTCTGCTCCTGAAATCCCTCAGCCACAGCTGGACCCTCAGAACACCCCAGTCACGCCAGAATCCTCCACTAATGAACGTTCTGCCCGTTTAACTGCCTCCAACAAAACACCAGTCTCTAAACGATCCCTTTTGAAAGATTTAAATGTCACCAGATTCAATAAGTTAACCCCCCGAAAGCAGCGACTTCTGTTGTCAAACAGGCGGAAAGAAAGGTCCCTAAAAAGGATGAAAGATCAAATTAAAAACTTGAAAGTAAGAACATCGAAAACTGTCATTGATTTACCTGCATTCAAAAATTTTCCACCTGCTTTAAAACTCCTCATAGAATCCACTTTAAGAATTGGGAATTGCAAGCCCAAGGGAAGGCGATGGACGTTGGAGGATAAGATTCAAGCGCTAACCTTGCACAAGAACTCCCCAAAAAACTACGCCCTACTCCGAACCTTCTTTCCTTTACCCTCTGCTCGTACTTTACGTTCCGTACTCTCTAAAGTTCCTTTTTCACCTGGTATTTGTCAACCAGTCCTAGACGCTCTTAAGAAATCAGTAGCAGCGATGAATCCGCTCGACAGATATTGCACACTAATGTTCGATGAAATTTCCCTGCGCCAGCAGCTCTGGTACAACCGAGGGCAGGACCGCATCGAAGGTTTTCAAGACCATAAAGGACAAGGGGTCAGTTCAAAGTTGGCAGACCATGGTTTGGTTTTCATGATACAAGGTTTGCGGCGCCATTACAAGCAACCTGTGGCATATTATTTAAGCCATTCAGCGACAACCGCAGAGAGGCTGGTGATTTTCATCAAGAATGTCATCCGTGCATGCAGAGATGCAGGCCTGCACATAGCATCCACTGTCTGTGACCTGGGGACGAGCAATGTCAGTGCCCTGAAGAAGTTGGGAGCAACACCGGAAGAACCTTACTTCTATTTAGATGAGGAAGAGAAGGGTAAAATCCACACTATCCTGGATCCTTGTCACCTGCTGAAATGCACCCGAAACAACCTTATGACCAAAGATGTAACATTTACCGTGGACATGAATGGGAAGAAGGAGACCGGTGAGTTGTATTCATTAGCATTCAGAATTCCCTCTTCTAATTTTTCTCTTTCCATTCATTACTGAAGCACTCCTGTTATGCCTCAGTTGTTGATCAAGTTTCCTCTAAATTGGATGTTGCGAGCTTGCATATTCTTTCAAATTAATTTTTGAGTCGTGGTACTGAAAAATTTAGATTTAAACTTTATGTTCAAGGAGTGGAAGAGCAATGCTCAGTTAGGGTAGGTCCACTATTCTCAAACTAAGTTTAGGATCCTCTGGTAACAGATCCAGCCTTCTCTTCTAGAAATCTTGGAACATCCAGTTGCATGAGACTTTTTCATAGGATGAAAATTGCTGATGAAATTTTAAACGTATACTTGCCTTGTTCAATTTTTTTTCTTTTCTTTGGCTGATGGAGCATTTTTTGGTAAGATTTTTTGACTTCCCATCATCTGTCATGCTGAACGCAAACTTAAGTTTAAAACTCTTTTAAAACATAATTATTGATCCTGCAAGTGGCATAGAATTCCTAATAATTCTTAAATACTCTCCTTGTTCCAGGCACAGCCAAGTGGTCCCATATCCAGAAAGTAGCCGAGGAAGACAAGAAATTGGTTTTCCGCAAATTAGCACATATAGATGACGATGACCTGAACCCTGATCGATGTAAGAAGATGAAAGTTGCTGCTGCGGCTCATGTGCTTAGCCATACTGTTGCCAGTGCTGTCGAGTATGAACATAGGAATGGTAAGGATCAGGCTGTATTTCTCT